TTAAAATCATCTAATAGTGATGTCATTGAGGATTATTCTATTTCTTTGTACGATATGAAGCTTGACGTGTTTGATTCTCGTTAGTGTGCCAGTTGGATCAATTGTTCTATACCTTGTTCTCATTTGTTATTTCATTGGATTGGCCAAGGTTTTCTTGGCGGGTGTCGTCGATGAAGCTGCACACGCTTATTCTTCCAGAACACTCGGTCTTATTATCTTTTCACTTTTTTCCCGGAGTTTCCATGCAAATCTTTCTATTGTTGATATGTTTGCCCAATTTTCGTTGAATTTGAATTATGATTATGTTGACATGTTTGTATTTTCTTGTTGTTTATTGCAAAAGATTATTTGTGATTAGTGGATTGGTGCACCTTTCCATCTTAGATACAATATTCATTTCAGTCAAATTTTACTTTCCTCAGTTATCTCCAAGATCCGAAACATAAGACCATGAGCAGCAATGCAGCGATATATCAAAGTGTTTTCCTCTTGTGTTTAAACCAACTACACCACATTTCGAATAGGACGCTTAATGAAAACAAATAGCTGAAATCTTACCTTCGCGCTTTTCTTTCGTTAGAGAGTCAGCCTGAAAAAATAAAACAAATGATTAATTATACACAACTGATGAATAAAAATACAAATGTGTTATAACAAAGGATAGATGCTGTATTAAGAGACTCATAACACATCCTGTCTTCGTAAGTGTTAAAGAGACATATATTCAAAACTTTTAAAAACTACAGGAAGGCTTCACTTTTATCCAAAGAAATGCAGTTTTTTTAAAATAATTAACTTGAATGATCGAAACATCTTCCCCGGTATATTGTTCGGTTCATAATTTAGGAATTCGGATACTTAGGGCTTCACTTTACCCGTTATCAACTTGATTTCGTCATGTCTTTTTAATGCAAGATAAATAGATTTTGAAATATGTTTTTATTCAAATCAATGTTTTCTTTTTCCTCATTTTTTTTACAAAGAATCTTAAGTTTCAAATTTTTTTTATAAAGAAATTTACAAATAATCTTAAGTTTTCATACTATGTTTGGTCATTTTGAAGTTCACTATTATGATATAATCATTCAGAAAGAAGGGAATTACCATTGAATGTCTGAATCAAGTTACTGGTACCCGTACAAACATTTAAGACTACGTCTACAACTTTATTGATCTTATTTCTGTCCCATTAATATAGCACTATAACTCCATACAGAATTACACGATTCATATTAACACTAGTCACAAATACCTCATACATAATAAAGCCTCCAAATAGAAGTGATACAATCCAATACAACCATTCAAGGAAGGAATGAAAACCAGGATAAGGCATGGTTAAGTGAATAAATAATGGACATTACAGTGTGTTTAAGAGTAGATATCTCACTTTCCATTCATCATTTAGGGACAGAAATCCAATACTGCAGTGCCAGGTTTTGGATTGCCATGGAATTCTAGGTTTAGAAGTATCATTATTTTACTAAATCGTGGTTTGAATTTATCAATTTATCAAACATTTTATGAAATCTTTTCAAGGTTTTCTGGTTTTAATGTAACAAAACCAATCAATCGTTCCAGATTTTGTCATGGAAATGAGAGTTGCTGTGGTTACAAAATACTGGATTCATATTCTAAACTATAGAATAAAAAATCCTCCTTCATAATGTTTACTGTAGGTTCGAAATAGCACGAAGACATCCTTTCAGATAATACCAGCTATAAGCTTGTTGTTGATGGTGACGAGAGCAAGGGTTTTCTCCGACGCCGATGGTTGCCATTGTGAACACTTGTACAGCTGAGCAGATTTTTTATTTTGGAGAAAAGATTCTGCAGAATACGCTTACTCCTTCTGGAACACCTGGTCTTGTTCTCCTTGGCCTTTTTCAAGTTTCTGTGTAAATCTTTCATTTGTTAATACTTTGCATTAGTTTTCATTGAATTTGAGTTTGTATTTGATAATGTTCATTGAAATTTTGGTATTTTCTTGTTGTTTTTTTTACTCATTAGTCAGAACATTTACACGGTATTCCTGTAGGTTGCTTTGGTGTGACCAGAAAAATGATTCACCATGATTACATCACCCTTTATTACAAAATTGATGATTGATATCGGTATTTGACGCCAGTGTGGGTGTGATCACTTTATAGATAAACGATAATTTCAAGACGACCATTTCTTATATTACAGCCATATCTAAACGACAAAGGTTGAAAAGTCATCAAAACAATCAAGTCTCAAAATTTTGAAACTTGTTCCATAGTTGAAACTAAACTCTTGTATAGCGAAACACGACTGGGTTATGTACTTTAAAACAAGAAGCTTAAAGTCTTGCTGTAGCAATGGATCAATATTTGACTTTTTTTATATCAATTTGTGGGAAATTCGACAAATGATTTCCCATCAAAATAAATGCCACTAAGATACAGTAAAATCCATCATAATTAATGATTAACTATTCCCCATTACAAATCAATTGAGACAGCTCGTAATACAACAATTCTTTTAAGTAGCAATACATACGGGGCTCATTGACATCGCACGTAAATCTGGTTTCTGATGGAAGGATATTTGATGTGATGCGACTGAAAATATAGTCCCATTTATCACGCGATAGTTTTCCCTAAAGTATGTTTAAGATAGGCTACAATGATGTTTCAGAGCCGTATTACAGCTTTGCGGATTAATCATTCCTTTCTAAACAGTATAGTTTAATTACGAAACGTCAAATTTAATTCAATATATCCCGAATTTAACGCTTTGTTTTCGTGCACTTTATGTGGGAACGAAACAATTAAACGTAGATTTCGTACGAAACAATTTGGTCTATTCGGAAATATCTGGTCCTCATCAAATTAAGGATGAATTAGTGAAGGGGAACGACAACCTATCAGTTTATATCAGATATTGAGGACACGAAAAAGCAACTGGAAAGTCAACAAAAGTATCGAGGTGAAATCAGATCCAATTGACTGGTAGAAGAAGAAACTGGAGAACATCAGGCACAGAAAAATAACTCAGAAATGAAATGGCGAAATAGAACAGTCGATTCGGCAACTCTTTGTCGTTCAAATAAGAATAACTGGTTGGTGGTGGGAGTGGTGGGATTGGGCTCAAACTCTCTCACATTTATGACCAACAAGTGCTCAACAAATTGGTATTTTTTTTTTGTAATTTGTATACCATCTCGTTACACTTTTTCGACCTTAGTGTACATAGGATTATAGTACATACGAAAACATTGGACGATTCCTTACCATCTCATCACACTTTTTTCAAACTTAGTGTACATAGCGTTATAGTATAGCCGAAAAAAAAATGGCCCTTACCACCTCGTTACATTTTTCGGCCTTATTGTAAATAGGATTAAAGTACATTCGATTAAAATGGTCGATTCCTTATCATCTCGTCACACTTTTTCTTATTAAGTGTACATAGCATTATAGTACAGCCAAAAAATTGGTCGATCCCTACCATCTCGTTCACTTTGGACGACATCAGTGCAAGTACGCGTGACCGTGTTGTCAACTTTACCTCACACTCATATCTGCAACTGGTTGTTTCCATTGCAATTGGAAGTTACAGATTTTTTATGCGAAACTTTAAAAAAAAATTCATATAAAAATTGGTATGCAAATTGTATGCAAATTTTGATTGATCATATTGTAGACACTATCAGCATTGTTATGATTGCCCTTTCTGACTCATTCAACAAATAGTCCTATATCTAAATAAATAATTACTTTTCTATTACATGATTTTTAAAGCAGTCGAAGACGGTTATCTTCTTGGAAATTTAAATGAAAATTTACATGAAGGAATTTCACTTTTGAAAAAAAATCACGAATTAAGAAACAAGATTGCATGCGATGCCATCATTGAAGTTGGTATATAGAGATACAAATACAGTTTTATGTCAGATAGTCATAACTGCCTTGCTAAAATATCTCTTTTTAAATTATGGAGAGCTTCGATATTATCGACTTCTTGCTAGTGAGTATAGATGTTATCGGCTTCTTGTTGAAGGGCTTTAATGTTATCGATTCCTTGTTAGCAACATTCGACCTTATCGGATTCTTGTTGGAGAGCTTCAATGTTAATTGCTGTGTGTTAGAGAGCCTTATTGTTTCCGTCTTACTTGCTGGAGAGCTTTAATGTTACCGGCTTCTTGTTGGAGAGCTTTAATGTTACCGGCTTCTTGTTGGAGAGCTTTAATGTTACCGGCTTCTTGTTGGAGAGCTTCAATGTTAATTGCTGCGTGTTAGAGAGTTTTAATGTTACCGGCTTCTTGTTGGAGAGCTTTAATGTTACCGGCTTCTTGTTGGAGAGCTTTAATGTTACCGGCTTCTTGTTGGAGAGCTTTAATGTTACCGGCTTCTTGTTGGAGAGCTTTAATGTTATCGGCTTCTCGTTGGAGAGCTTCAATGTTAATTGCTGTGTGTTAGAGAGCTTTATTGTTTCCGTCTTACTTGTTTGGGAGCTTTAATGTTATCGGCTTCTTGTTGGAGAGCTTTAATGTTACCGGCTTCTTGTTGGAGAGCTTTAATGTTACCGGCTTCTTGTTGGAGAGCTTTAATGTTGGAGAGCTTCAATGTTAATTGCGAGTTTTAATGTTTCTTGTTGGCTTTAATGTTACCGGCTTCTTGTTGGAGAGCTTTAATGTTATCGGCTTCTTGTTGGAGAGCTTTAATGTTACCGGCTTCTTGTTGGAGAGCTTCAATGTTATCTGTTTTTTGTTGGAGAGCTTTAATGTTACCGGCGTATTGCTAGAAAACGGCTTTGGAGAGCTTTAATGATCGGCTTGTCACCAGCTTTCTTGCAATGTTAATTGCTGTGTGTAGAACTTAATATTTCCAGCTTGTTGGAGAGCTTCAATGTTTCAGGATTCTTGTTGGAGAGCTTTAATTTTACCAGCTTCTAGTTGGATAGATTCAATGTTATTGATGTCTGGCTGGAGAGCTTTAATGTTATCGACTACATGTTTGAGAGCTTCAATTTACCGGCTACTTGTTGGAGAGTTTTCATATTACCGGCTTCTTGTTGGAGAACTCCAATGTTACCTGCTTCTTGTTGGAGAGCTTTAAGTTTCAATATTAACGCTGACTTGTTGGTGAGCTCAATGCAGTTGTCTTCTCGTTAAAAAGATCGGTTGTTATGGTGAAATAATTAATTTTAGTGGGAGTGCCATTTTCATTGATTTTCTATTTTTTTTCATTTTTACCGAAAATCTCAACAAATGCTTCAAATTATACACCTTGTATATTAAATATCACGAACATCGATATAAAGATAAGTAGGCATATTTACTTATTTCAGACGGGTTCTATTTTTAGCTTTTTATTTAGGATAGCATAAATACAATATAAAAAGAGGTCTTGATAATAGTATCACTTGATAAAGACCTATAGTTCTAGACGTTCTTGATGTATTTATCCTTTTTCCTCGAAGCATTTGTTTAAAATGCGAGAAACTCAGAGAAAACACCCTTAAATTACGTCGATGCAGATAAATCTCTAAAACCATTATCAAAGCAAGGGATATTTAAATATATCAGCTCATAACTAGTGATTGAAATGATCAGTAACAGACATGAAAGTAAAAATAGTAGTAGTTATTGTGTGCATTCTGAAAATGTATGACTTCAGATGCTGAATCAATATAAAAGATACAGAATTTATACAAGAGTTTGCATTTGAAACCAACATTATGGAACAATGCCAATTTTATATCAATATTCAGTTACTTTTTGACATAAAGTAATCTTTCTTCACTAAAATCTGACAAGAAACACTTTACAACTTATACAAATCTATATAGCCTGTCAAATTCACGGTGGAAATCAGAAGTCATGATGACAGGTACAAACACAGTCTGATAACGTTATATTTGCCAAAATATAAATTGATCCAGGTCCTTATCTTGACATTTAAATAACGTTATTTGGAAAGACAGGCTTAGGATGTGTCGAAATATTTTGTGATCTACGATTATTAATAATTGGTTTGTCCTTGCTGATAACATGCAACTGATTAATAATATTGAGAGTATCAATCTTCTTTAAAGCAGATCTCGTAAAACGTTCTCGACCAATTTAAGATATCAGAAAACCTGTCGTCTGCTCACGGACAAGTGATTCCGGAAAGTCGACAACGTGTCTACAGTTGACATTTACATTTACATCAAAATCGACAGGAAAAGTTTCTCCTACTTTTTGTCCTACATTACAAACGCATACATCATGTCCTGAACTGCACCAACCTAACACTGCACCAACCTAACACTGCATATTATAAGGAAATTGTTTTTTTCGGAACACTTTCTTCAGGTTGTTAATATCAATAAAATAGAAGTTGTTTATGTAACACAACCAGTAGAAGATTTGAGTGTTACGTTTCGATGACTACACGGTCTCCTTCATCTTATAACACAACTAGTAGAAGATCAGAGTGCTGCGTTTCGATAATTGCACGGTCACCTTCATCTTATAACACAACCAGTAGAAGATTAGAGTGTGACGTTTCGATGTCCACACGGTCACCTTCATCTTATAACACAACCAGTAGAAGATTATAGCGTGACGTTTCGATGTCCACACGGTCACCTTCATCTTATAACACAACCAGTAGAAGATTATAGCGTGACGTTTCGATGTCCACACGGTCACCTTCATCAGACAAATGACCAGTCGGCGGAGTGTACTAGCATTGGCGTACGTTGCGTACGAGATGGTAAGGAACTGACAAACTTTATCGGCTGTATTATAATCCTTTGTGCACTAATGTCTGAAATAGTATGACGAGGTGGTAAACAGATTATAAACCAAACATTACACAGCCGCAAATGTTGGTTAATTCCATCTCGAACACTACTAGTACACTTCACACTGGTAATTTATTTCCCTGATGAAGGTGACTGTGTCGAAACGTCACACTCTAATCTGACACAATTACAAGAAATTTTTTATTCCTGGGAAATTGTTTGATGTCTTTCAGCAAAATATATGGTAAAAAATGCTTCACCCTGTTTGCGGCATTTACGCTTAGAAAATTATGTTCGTTTCATAATATATTTTATTGTCATGATTTTACTGACAAAAGGAATAGGGCAACAGGCATAGGCTATGAAATCTTTCTCCTTTCAGACGTGAAATCACGTGATTGTCTTCTAAAAGTTGGATTAAATGCTATGTCACGAAATCTATAAAATATGCAATATGACTTTTTATAAAAATAAATGATTATGAAAAAAGATATTATTCACATCCATATTTTGGATACAAAGAATGCATTTCTATTTCAACAGTCGAGAAGGAAGGAAAATGCTGCCTGTATGATACTCGCTCTGATAAAAATTTAAAGTAAGAGAATGTAGTTTCTAAGGAGGATGTTTGTATCGTTGTAACGCAGCATACACCTTTAAGTGGTAGCACACATTTTTTTTTCTAAATTAACTGTAAATTAGCAAAAAAATCATAATTAAAGGATTAATGAATTATAGAATTTAAAGCATTCTGACACTTTAAGTTGTGTCGTTGATGACTCATACAACAAAATAGAATTATTTTAACAGCAGTTTATGGATCATGGACCAGAAGTGTAATAGTCTATTAATGGTAGCAGTTATACATTGCGGGGAAATTTGGTTAGCATTGCATCACAAGAAATGAAAATTAATCAGGAAGATGGAAGTCCTTCTTGTATAATGTTTTATGCAGTCAGAAGAATTTATTCAAGCATTGTATGTGATTAAAAATTTAAAATGTTTGACAATATATCCGACTTCCTTTGACATCTTGCCAATTAACCACTGCAGTCAATTGTAACTGTGATGTATTTGCCTTACAGTGGAGTTTTAGTAAGGTTTTAGGCATTCAGCGGGAACACTGCCACATCGATATGAACGCCTGCCAGGGAGGAACACTCAGGCTGACTCGTATATATCAAATTGACTGTAATTGTTCGTAATCTCTTATGATCTCCATTCATCGTTTTCACCCATAACATAGTTAGCCCCATACATTGTACAATGTTGTATCTCAATAATGTCAAACCTTCAGAAGTAAATGGCAGCCCTTTTCAGATAAAAGAGGGAGCAATGCTTATCACCAACTGGGCTTGAGGGTGCATTACGTTATCAAGTTCAAAGTTTGTTTCGATTTGACCTATACCGAACACGTGTAGTTTACCAAGCGAGACGTAAATCACCAGAAATTGTATTTCTCCATGTCAAATTGGTATGTAAGTACGACATTACGAGATTATAACGTTATATTATATTTTGATCACTGGAATTGAAAACCAAACGTTTAGTTGAATCACTTTTGGTGGTCTTCACTCCGTTACCAGGAACAAACGTTCATTAGAATCAGTTTTTTTTCCGGTTCTCTGTTACGCGGAGAAAGTCTCGCAGAAATAGGTTTAGTGTTCTCCACCCTTTGATCCCCCCTCCATGCCACTGGTTGATTCAGTTTTGGTGTCCACCACTCTCTGACCAGGAAAATGGCGCCTTCATTCTCCTGCTACACACATCTATTTGATTCAGTATTTGATATTTTCTCTGACCATAAACAAATTAGAAAAAAGGCAACGGAATAAAAAGATACGAACAAAACCAAAAACATTAGCATACAATAATTCGAGAATGCTTCAGACAGATAACATAATAGTGTGAAAAATTCGTCAGTTTAAGTTGGTGTGCAACTGGAATCATTCCGTACATCTCTCAAAGATATCACGTGGTACACACAGAGATTGCGTTTAACAGATCCTGATGGAAGAGGGATATGATCTGTTAAAACGGATTTAGGGACATTCACCTTTAAAGAAATACTTGTTTATTCTATACCACGAATTCATCAAAATTTAATTTGAACGTCAAACAATCCTACTGATTGGTTGGTTGTGGCCGACAGATAAAGAGACGAAGTGTCGACCATTTTGGTATCGTGTCAGTTTCAGAGAGAGTGGACACCTGTTAACATGGTTAATTAGGATGCAGCAATGACGAACGCATTGTTGTGGCCGAACAAATATTAATTGATTCTGTAAAGTATACAATAAAGCATAAATGCTACAATGCCATGTAATAAAGTTTTCATGTACATGTCTGAAGACACCAACATTGTATGCCAACACTCGTTCGTTCTAGCTGAAACTATGAATAATAGCTCTCAGGTTCAAGGTTTGTTTGTTGGTTTGCTGTCAGGTTTTAAGTCTAAAATTCCGATCATGCCACAATTGCATTATTAACGATGGGATCGTGCTACAATGTTGTTGGTGCTATCTCTATAGCTAGTTTAAGGTCTAAAGTCGCGATCATGCCACGGTTGTAGGTTCGCTCACTATAGCTAGCTTAAGGTCTAAAATCTCGACTATGCTACGGTTGTTGGTTCACTCTCCATAGCTAACTTAAGGTCTAAAGTCGCGATGATGCCACGGTTGTAGGTTCGCTCACTATAGCTAGCTTAAGGTCTAAAGTCGCGATCATGCCACGGTTGTTGGTTCACTCTCCATAGCTAACTTAAGGTCTAAAGTCGCGATGATGCCACGGTTGTTGGTTCGCTCACTATAGCTAGCTTAAGGTCTAAAATCTCGACTATGCCACGGTTGTTGGTTCGCCCTTCATAGCTAGCTTAAGGTCAAAAGTCGCGATCATGTTACAATGTTGTTGGTTCACTCTCCATAGCTAACTTAAGGTCTAAAGTCGCGATGATGCCACGGTTGTTGGTTCGCTCACTATAGCTAACTTAAGGTCTAAAGTCGCGATCATGCCACGGTTGTAGGTTCGCTCACTATAGCTAGCTTAAGGTCTAAAGTCGCGATCATGCCACGGTTGTTGGTTCGCTCACTATAGCTAGCTTAAGGTCTAAAGTCGCGATGATGCCACGGTTGTTGGTTCGCTCACTATAGCTAGCTTAAGGTCTAAAGTCGCGATCATGCCACGGTTGTTGGTTCGCTCACTATAGCTAGTTTAAGGTCTAAAGTCGCGATCATGCTACGGTTGTTGCAATATTTCTTCTAGATAACAACTTAAT